GTTGTCCAGCCATCACCGAGAGACGATCATATCGCAGGAGAAACGTAACCAGAAGCGCCTCAGCCTCAACATCACCAACGGACACACACAGGACAATGCACGCACCACGCAGGACAGCACACACTGCCGGGACAACTGCACGAGCCGAGGCAGCCAGCTCAGGTTGGTACACACCTGGAAGAAAAACACATTGATTGTGGCATGATTGATGTGTTTAGATGATCACCTACAGAACATGTGTAATTGGTTGGATTTGGCAAAAAATCCCTGAGTTCCAAGTAACACAAACCTAATATTTAAAGTGGGTAGTAGGCTGCAGACCAACTAACATACTGTCGGCTATATTTGATTAATGTACACTTACCTTTACTAAAGTAATCTTTTCTCTCTGTTTCTCTCTCTCTCTCTCGCACACTCTGGGAAAGACTTAAATAAATCCCTTAAACCCCTTCCTGCTTTTGGACATTTAACATGTACCCTTGTTCTGTTTACATTCTTTATCCAGGAAGTGGGCTGTATATAGGACATGTTCCATATGTATCAAAAGCCCTCTATAAATAAAGACATGGTGTATGACTTTTCTGCTATAAGGATCAGAAGTGTGTTATTTACACTGAGCTTAATGTAATGACTCAATGTCTGTCTGAGTAAAGAGACCAAAAGAAAAACAAGGTAGAAAGAAAAACAAAGAGAAAGGAAAAGAACAATTCATTTTGTATGTCAAGGTCTTCTTTCTTTGCTTCCTTTTCAATGATGTGGCTATTTCTTTATTCCTAAACCTTTCTTTGGAATAGCTTTGATTTTTTTTGGCGTTCCCTTTCTAACTCAGGTTGAAGGATCGCTGTGGCAGCCAACCAGCGAGTCTCAATCAGGTCCCAGAGAGGCGACGCCCACTGAAGGCACACCAATCAGAAAGCTACCTGCCTCTCGGTAAGTGAAAGTCAAATGTAACATGTGACCTTAGTATGAGACACAGAACAATATTGGCATTCTTTTCTGTTTTCTGACCTTCTACCTTTATCCTCTTCTTCCTGGAACCTCCTCTACTTCTCCAGGATCCAAACCCCAGCCTCCTGACCTTCTGCTGCCGGGCCCCAACCCCAAGTCTCCAGTGTTTCGGACGGGCAGTGAGCCGGTGCTGAGCCCCTCAGTCCCACGGAGGTCTGCAGAGTTTCTGCCAGGTCAGTAGGGGGATACAATCCAATGTTAAACAAATCTGTTTAAAAACGTATTGGCCAGGATTAAATGCATTATATATATATATTTGTTTAGATAAAGTCCAAACAGCATGTCTTATCTGTTGTAAAACCAAAACACACACACACACGGTGTAATCTATCCTTATTTGCTCCTGCCATTGTTTGTATGGAAATAGGAAATTACATGTAACCCTGTCCTCATATGCTTCCATGCACTTTTTGGTTGTTTGATTCAAATTTGGCAAATAGAGTAAAGTGAATAATATAAAAACAGAAATGAAATAACAAATGTCTCTAACGCAGACACAGAGGCTTACTGCCTTGATTGATTACATTTGGTTGCAGACATATCTGATCAATCATTTGGTGTTTACAGGCCAGGCTATCCGGGGCTCAGACAGCCAGCTGTGTCCCAAACCTCCTCCAAAGCCCAGCAAGGTGTCCCTGGCCCGGCTGCCCCGCTCCCCCGCCCTGCAGCCTCTGGCGCCCCCCCCCCATCTCCTCCAGCCTCACAGACGCCCCCTCCACCTCCCCCAGGCTGGCTGCACCTTCCCTGGACTCCACAGGTGTGGATACTCATGGTTCTACATGGAGGAGCGGAGGTAACTTTATTTCTTGTAAAATGCATCCACAGTAGGTCAGTCACGGTGTGTAAGGAAAGACTTTTAAACGTATCAGGAAAAGATAGTCCTACATGAAGAGGCACACTCGTACATAGTAGTCTGAAACAGAGTTCCAAAATACTTCAATTGATCAAACATTGCTATACTATTAATTTCTGTTTTAACAAATGAACTGTTTTCATTATCCAAGTTATTCAACCTAATTAATTTAAGTTGCTTTCAGTCAGTTGAATTTTCTATATCAAGATTACCTTTTTTAAATGCTCTGGATGTGCATATTCTATTTTGATACCTATATAATTGATACATTGACTGTGGAGTAAAGACATCTATATATAAATGTCAACTTCCCCTCTTAAAAACCAAATGGAAATAAATGAAGCGCTGTTGTTGGTTCCCCACAGCCACCACAGGCCCTCCTGTTCCTCCAGTGAAACCCCTGAAGTTCCTCCAACAGCTCCACCCTGCAGACTCCTACAGCTCCTCCAGTTCTCTCCTCTCCCCCGCTGAACAGTACTCAGATTCAGAGACAAACGCAGGATGGACTGAGCGCCTGCAGCCCAGTCCCGCAGAACCGAGGTCCTGCAGCCCACTACAGTGGGAGGAGCCAGACTCCATGTCGGACCTCTACCTTCAGCCTCTGCCCTGCAGCTACGTGGAGAGACTGAGGAGAGAGGGAGAGGGCGGGAGGGAGGAGAAGGAGAAGGATGCGGGAGGGAGGAGAGGGCTGGATAGGAGCTCCTACCATCACGCCATCGCTGCTTTGGAAAACACTAGCGAGGAAGAGGAGGAGGACGCAGGGAGGAAGGTGGAGGAGGAAGAAAAGAGGAGCAGTTTCCAGCGGCCGGTGGAAGAGACGGAGTCCACGTTCCGGCCTTCGGAGTTCGGATCTCGACTTTTGCCGGAGGAGAACAAACCGCTGGAGATGGTGGTGCTGAAGAGAGCCAAGGAGCTGCTGCTCAGCCACAATCACCACAGCATCGCCAGACACCTGCTCATGGCCGACTGCCAGGTACACACACATGCACACACGTCTACATTGGAGCTACACATGTTTAGTGTTGCTCCTCCACACAGATGTTCCATTTATGTGTCTCGAAATGAGATTTCTATCCTGCAGTTAATGCAATAAAATGACGCAGGAGAATCACACCCCTGAGCCGAGCACAATGTTCCACTGTATTACACACAAACTGGCAGCCACAGAACAAGAGGAAGATACAACGAGACTGACCTTTTTTCCTCCTCCAGGTTGCGAGGATAGTCGGAGTGACTCCAGAGGTCAAAGGTCAGATGGGCGTGTCCTCCGGTTTGGAGCTGGTGACGTTGCCGCACGGTCGACAGCTGCGGCTGGACCTGATGGAAAGGTAAATATTAAATCACACATACACACTGCAGCACGAACATTGCATCACACATTTAGTAACACACTTCCAGGAAACCCCTTTAAATATAACCCAGTGACTCCTTTCAAAGGGGTCCCAAGTTAAATCTCAAAGGTCACAATCATTTTGTTTTTTCAAGTTTGTTTTTCTGACCTTTTGGGGTGTTTTTTCAAGATACTGGGTACTTTTGACTCTTGCCACTTATAGAATGTATTTCTTTGAAAGGGTTGCAGTCCAACATGGTTGGGAACAACTGGTTCGGTTAAACCAGCCTGCTCTCAAACTAAAGATTAAAGATGATATCATTGATTCATAACTGCTGAGTCATTCATTCTACTTCCTGTCATTCTTCCAAAAACTCACTGAGAGATCAAATTAGAAACAAAAAAATACATTGACATCACATAGTTGTTGACTTGTGTTGATTATCCACCCCTTCTTGGTCTCCCAGGCACCACACCATGGCGATAGGTGTTGCCGTGGATATTCTGGGATGTACGGGTAGCGCAGATGAGCGGGCCTCCACCTTAAATCGCATCATCCTGGTCGCAGTGGAGCTGAAGGACACGGTGGGCGACCTGTTTGCTTTCACGGCCCTGATGAAAGCTCTGGATCTGCCACAGGTAACACACACACACACACACACACACACACACACACACACACACACACACACACTTTCAAAGTTTAACAGAGAGTGATGAAATAAAAGTATCGGATAAATAGTTCTCAATCATTACCTGCCAGAATGTTTCACTTTGTTGTGTCATTTGTTTTCTATTTGCAAGAATATGTCTTTCTGTTTGTAGGAAATCTTTCAACTTGATTTGTGTTGTTTTTTACTCTCCAGATCAGCCGTTTGGAGGAAACATGGACAACTCTACGAAGGAACTACACACAGACCGCCATCAACTACGAGAAAATACTCAAACCTTTTTACAATAATCTGTATGAGGGCACAGGTACTAAAAATGCGCACACACACACACACACACACACACACACACACACACACACACACACACACACACACACACACACACACACACACACACACACACACACACACACATTGGCCCAAGGTGTCTTAAACAGCATCAAACGTGGATTCAATAAAAAAGGGGAGAAAACTAGCATCAAAACAAATTATTAACAATTTAGACAGCTGTCACATGCTATACAAGTGTGAGTAAAGACAATTTAATGGAAGTAATTATAACATTTTTAGAATCAAATGTATCCCTGGTTAATCACATCATGTTTTTAAAAGCACAATTAATTAAATGTCTACCCTACAAGTGTTGATTTCATCCCAAAAATTCTCAAGTGCAGAATAATGTAACATGATAGAGATACTAGAATTTGTTATAGATTGAAGGGTTACAAGAATGTTTTTTTTTAAATATGAATGGAAAATAAAATGTGGCTTTCTTCTGCAGCTTCCTCCCTTGCAGTGGTCTGCGTCCCCCTCCTGCTGCCCCTCCTCACTTTGATGGAGCGCCCGTCAATCACACCTGAGGGGGCGGAGCTCTGGGAGACCAGCGACCAGGGCTGTGACATCATGCTGCGCCACCTAGAGGCCGCACGCCAAGTGGCACACAACGCACACAGCTACACAGCCAACGCACACAAGTTATTACAAGGTAAAAAAAAGAAAACGCACAAACATGTACAGAAAAATATATAGTTTGTGGATTATAAGAGAAAAATAAAAGATGTCTAAAATATGTAATTCTTCATCGCCATCAGGATTGACATGGGATGAAGACCTGTTGGAGGTGTTTAAAACGGACTTTCAGCTGCGGCTGCTGTGGGGGAGCCGTGGAGCTTCAGTTAACCAATCAGATCGCTACAACAAATTCAACCTCATCCTCACTGCGTTGTCACGGAAACTGGAGCCCCCGCCTAAAACACAAACATTAATCTGACTCCAACCTGAACAAAAACTCTGACATCAAATGCACTTTGGACTTCAGTCGAGCATCAGGAGGACAGGAAACAAAGAGAAGAAGAGGAGAACTGTGACGAGGCAGGAAGTTGATCAGCGAATGATGAAGAGGATACACTTCAACATCTTCATACAGAGACTCAGCAGCCGAACCTCATGTCAGATGTTGATTAGGCTCTTCATTTGTTAAATATTTAACAAAAGTCTGTCGTTTTACTCTAGTTTAAAGGCTTCAATTTCACTCAATGACTCATAGCTCTGACACCTCACATTTTAAGATACACATGCAGGCATAATCTAAAACATACCCGGATCAAGATCATTACATTTGAATTACTCTAGCCATTGCCATGATCAGGAGATGCAGGCAGTATCCAAAGTTCACTTAACCCTTATGTTGTGTTCGGGTCTCCCGTGACCCGTTTCAAGTTAAAATGATATAATAACTACGCTCTTGTTTTTTGTATCGGAACAAGGCTTCATGATATCCTCCACAACAGCTATATAAACACTACGAAACTGATTTTGACCATTTTAGCCAAGTCTGAAGGTCTCTAAAAAAAAAGTGTATAATTTGGTGTTCGGGTCTGGGGAGACCCAGCAGAATTGTTTTGGGTGACTCGAGGTCAATTTGGCCCAATCAAGATTCATCTTTGACTTTCGACACCCCAGCCCCGCCCCCTTCATCCACTGTAACAAGAATTGTTCGCAACATGCACCTGGTCAACACTTTTGAACTCAACACAAGTTTTAAATCCTTGGAACTTGAATCCTTCATGAAATGGAAAGATATGCAGCTTTGTCACAGCTTATCTATAAAACAATCTTTTTAAAGGGAGTTACTGATTCCTGAGAACAGAGCAGACAAAAGGAGCTTAAACTGAGGCTTGTAATGCTTTTTTCCTGATAAGGCACTTGTTTTATTTCTACTCTGACATTCCAGTTAATGGAGAACATCATTTTGCCACATCAAACTACAAATAGCTCATCTTGTGACAAATATATTCAGAAGAAAATGTCAGGATGTGTATGCCCTCCTTATTTATTTATGTGAAAGTAGTTTTATAAATGGAGGAAGGACATTTCCCTACAAAGTGCACATCTCTGTATGTTGCTTAGATAGAAAGAAAACATGTATTTGAGAGTTGCAATGAGATTTCTGGCTGTAATGATCTCTGTGACCTTTGATATAAAATCACTGAAAACAATGATATTATATAATAACATTATATAACAACATTCACATTAATATAATATTAAAAAAAGTTTTTTTTCACAAATCATTAGATATATAATATTTCCAGGTGAAAATATTTTTCTTTCTGCATAAACCTGAAAACTAAGTTAACATGTGAGAGACTAAAGTTGTATATAATTGAAAAAGTAGCATGTTAAGAGACTGTACATATTTCCTGTAGAAGACTGACTGTAAAAAAAAAATGTTCGATGATTTTAATATGTTTATATTACTATGAATTTAAGAATGAATAAATATGGTGTACAATCTGCATCTTTGTGGACATTTGGCTTTGTTTAACTTGTTATTGAAATTCATTCGAGCATAATTAAGGTACTTCTTTACGGCACTTGTTGAATGCATTTTACTCATGAATTCACATGAAGTAATACACTACGTTACCTCACAGGGAGATTCAAAAGAGAGCTGAATTGAAACTCACTTCTTCCTAAAATGTCAAAGAAAACCAATCCACTTCTTTCCATTGCTGCTTATTTTATTAGAACAATATCTTGGAAGAAGAAAAAACAAAGTGTCTGACAACATTCAAAGTAAAAAGATGTGCACAACAATATGGAAAGGGAAGTACTGCCATTGGTTATTACAACATACAACATGGTAAAAACACATTTACATGGATGTTAACATCATTCAGAAACACTTTGTACCTGCTGCTGTTTTTATTTACTGTGATTGGATGTTGATGCTGATAAAAACTTTTATCGTGAGTTAAAGAGCTGAGAGAATAATCTGTACAAAGCTTCCACAAGACAAACATGATCGCGTTCAAAAACAAGAGGAATGTAGAAGTGTTTTCTTCTGGGTGGTAAACAGCACCCCACTCACAGTAGCATGGCTTCACCAGCGCCATATTAGATAGACGTCTATATATCAGTATATATGGGGCTGGGCTTCACTAAAGAACCGTTGCAAGAACTTTATTAAAGCTGCTTTGTTTTATATTTTTGCATAATATCCAGAAGTACAGTTAAGTGGCTATAACATTTACTGAGCTCAACGTTTTTATATGTATATTAATTGACTAAGAAGAAAATGTTTGACTGATTGCAAAGGTGCTGCGTTTCGACTGACATGTATTCTTTGATTAAAGGGACAGTGCACTCCAAATATGTCTGAAAATGAAGAATATGAAACATCTGGAGTGTACCGTCTGTTTAAGAGTTAGTATAAATGTTATACAAGCATCATCATGGCAACATCAATACAAATTCAGCAGGAAACAGAGGGGACTGTTTTGTTTATCACTGCCTATATCTTCATGTCAGTGGATTATCTTTCCCACCATCAAATAATATTCAATTACATGCAAGGTAGTGGTTTTAGTGCTTAAACTGATGTGGTTTGCTTTCCCCCCCCCCCATGTCCTTTAGCAAACAAAAACTCTCAAATGTGCTGATCTTCTATCTTTTATATTATTGTAAATAGAATATCTTTGGGTTTTGGAAAGTTTGTAGAACAAAACCAACAATGGAAGACATGACGATGGGCTGTTAGAACTATTGATAGGCATTATTCATGATTTAATTTGACAATTTATAGACTTAATCCAAAATAGCAAATAAAAAGTTTAAAACAACTATTTGCACCCCCGACTGCTTAACCATAGAAATGTGATTTGACGTTATGACTGTATTGCCATTGGAACAAAAATAAATCTAATATGCAACACTTTACTGCACGCATCTTATGTCACGGTTTAGTTTTCAAAAAAGGCAAACATGTAGTTATAGCTAATTTTAAAGAAAAGCAAGCAGGCTAGCAGATGTAACTAACCATGACGACAGATGTGTACACACAAAATTGAAAGCACTGATAGATCGATGTATGCGTTTACAAGGCATCATTATTAAAAACCAAAGTGAAGGAATGGGTTAGGCTAAAATATTGAGTAGAGGAAAAAAAACTGTTGGATATTTTGGGAAAAAGGTTTTTTTATCGTGAAGTTGGATGAAAATATCTACACCACTCTCAAACCTGTACAGTACATCTGAAGCTACTGCCAGCAGTCGGTTAGAAACAGCTAGCCTGGTTCTGTTCCAATGGTAAAAAGTCCTATGTTGTGGAAAGCAAATTTCTCTCAAACTTCTATTGTTTTTATCCGATGCAAAATGGACCCGGATAGGAGAGAACATTTGGAGAACTGTGACTGAAGTTCAAGTAACATCCCCGACAGCATCATTCTGTACATTTCACAGCTTCATAGAAGAAACACTGACCACTACGGAGCCTCCTGCTGTTAAGATCCACAAAGCAGCTGAATTATTAGTGGCATTTTTTTTCAACAGAACAGTCAAACCTCAATTGTGTTTTGTTGAGAAAGTGAATGGTTAAAACGATCACCAAACGCACAAAGAATTAATGTAAAGAATCTAGAAAACCATGCAAAAAAATGGTGGGTCATTGCTCGTCAAGAGTTACAAAAAGAGTATAAAAACCATCAGGAAGAGGAAATGATTAGAGCCGTTTTTGTTTCTCGCTGCTATACAGTGGTCATTCATTAAGTTCACGCCTCTCAGCAGACAACACAGACCTTCATTCATTCATTCATTCATTCGCTTTAATTCATTTAATCAGATTCAAATGCTGTAGTACTTCAGCGCAAAGTGCATCAGTTCAATTCAAACCTTGTTGTCTCTCATGAAGAGTGTCAAACAAACCTAAAAACAATCACTATGGAAAAACATTCAGCATGACATAAAAGATGTTAATATTTACAATTCATTCAATGGTAAAAACTAACATCACACATGTAACGCAGGCACATGTAGACACACTTACATATTATTATGTATGGAAACCCAAACGTGCCAAAATTCAACATGTGTTTTCGGCCCATTTGGCCTTCCATAGCGGTGTTTACATATCATTGATACATGTGTGCATCTGTGGTCACATTCACAAATACAACCAATTAAGATGGGAAAAAAACTTTTTTGATAATGGAGATGCAGTTGAGGGTCCCCGAGGAGGTAAGGCTGAGCCCAGGTGGCTGATGGGAGATATAGTCAGGCAGAAGAGTGGAGACATCCAAAAATCCATCCAAAGTAAAACAAAATGGAGTTTTAAGGCAGAGTCTGACTGCAAAAAAAATTGGTGCTCCTCCATGTTTAGTGTTGTTTAAGGTGGTCCAGTTCAACTTAAGATGAGCCATGGTTTTGTGAGCAAAGGTTTCCATCTGCTGGTCAAATGGGGGTAGTACAACCCAGGAAGTAAAGGATAGGAAAGATGGGAAAAGAAAGAGAGTGGTAGAGAGGTCCTGTGTTCACCTGATCGGCCTGCTATCTGTCTAATGAGTAACTTAATGACGTTCAATGCACAAAATCATACTCATCAAAATACACCGGGATGATGCAGCATTCAACACACAACTCACATCCATAGTTACACACACTCATATAGTTGCAGTTAAAGTCACACATGAAACGTGTGATCATGTTTGGGACACGTTAAGGACATGCGGCTGTATGAGGGTGAAGGCAGGCATGAGGAGCAGAGTGGCTCAGGCGGGCAGGCAGGCAAACATCACCAACAGAGCACAGATGATGACAACAGGGATGAGTGCAGGACTGACATTGTTAGTGTTAGCAAATACTGTAAGCATAACTGACCCTAACAAATGTGACAAACCCTGAGAGTCTGAGATTAGAATTCACCGATGCCCTCTCTTGAGTAGCTGGACTCAAAAGTAGTGGGGAACAGTTTGTCTATTCGGAGAATATAGTATGGAAATATAAGATTATTTTACAAATACATTTTAGAATAAATGGCAAGTGGGACTTTGAAAATTGCGTTATGAGACAGCTCAAAGCTACTTTGAGGTTAAGGGTCCATTCTTTGGAAATAGAACTTTGACCAAAAAAAGCTCATCACAAGGTTTACTTACTAGATGTTTCCGAAGCTTTCGGCAATATTTCATTCATTAAAGTTGCCGTGTTATTTTTTATGATGAGAATCTCTTGTCAAAATGCTCTTTAATGATTTAAGGAGCCCATTAGTTTAAAAACAAGCTAAATAAGAGTTAATGGTCACCCACAACAAAAGGCCCACAGAAAACGTTTCCTGGAAATGTTCCTCTTTGTCATTCAATTATAAATCCACAACCAATAAGAGCAAGTCCTGGTATGGCATGTATTTTTACTGTACACAACATAACTAGTGAGGTCGTAGCAGCAGTTGGTTTCTATTTGCTGTCAAACAGTGTTTGAACCCTCAGAGAGCAGAACATCAGTATGTTTCCCCCTCCTGATGTGATGGAGGGTAGCCATCACAGCCTCTAGTAACCCAGAATGCTTTGCTGGTTATGGATATGTGAGCATGCAACATGCAACCTGTCTTTATTTCATCTCTTTCCCTCTCTACCTCTCTCTTTTCTTGTGTCACCCCCACCACCAATAATCAGCAATCAGCGTGAGCCCTCCACCAGCCAATCAAATCGCCCGGCCACCCTGCAGCCCTCAGGAACCTGCAGTCACATAGAGGAGAGAGGGAGTTATAACAACATCCGGTGCTGCAGTTCGATCTCACGCACAAACGTAACCAAATACAAATAATAGAACTGATTCACATAAAGGAAGAACAAGGATTGTGTTTATACGTTCGGCAGCCTCCCAATTAAACACATTTTACCAGTTATTTTCCAACGTTGTTCGTACTGCACTGTGTTGACTGCATTCACTTAAATGTCATTACACTTCAGAACCATTTTCACTGCACAATTTTAAACTTTAGAAGTACAGAGTTCAAGAATACGGCTGGTGATAAATGTATTTTCTTCTTATAGCTTAACAAATGAATTAAGCCTACTAAAAAGAGCCTACTGTTTGTGTCTTTTATTACTCTGTGCTGCCAAAAATACTAAAAAGGTACATAATACTTACTACAGGGCAAAACACAAGTATGACCTAATCATTTAAGTCAGTTTGAGTGAATTATGTATTCATATTAAAAATGTATGTAAATAAAATGTCTAAATGATATTAAATTAATGCAAGATTGTTTCCCACATCATCATCATGGCGTGCCAGATTTAAAACATGTTTATCTTCCTTACATATTGTGGCACTGCAACTTGTAAAAGTTATCTGACAGGTGACTGTGTCTAATGCAGGTTTATTGCTTGCACTAAAATGTACTGCTAGCAGCTGAAAATAGTCTGAGAAATGCACTATTTTTAATAAATGTCCACTGAGAACTACAGTGACTTGCTGTTACAGTGAGTGTTAAGGATTTTAAAGTAGGAATATACTATGTACTATTTGGGACCTGTTTTGTAAGATATAGATAACATTGTTGGTTTAGTTGTTTTGCATTAGATTTGTTGACAATAATGCTAGATCAGGCAAACCCCTGTCAAGGTATGATACAACACTACCAAGGATGAAACCTGACAAACCTCTCTAAGTGTAAGCACACACACACACACACACACACACACACACACACACACACACACACACACACACACACACACACACACACACACACACACACACACACACACACACACACACACACACACACACACACACACACACACACACACACACACACACACACACACACACGAAATCCTCAAATAATTTCCACACATGAATCCAAAGAGCTTCAAATCAGTTTTAAAATTCTCCATTTAAAAAAAGAAACATTAAAAATAATTAAAAAATAGATCATTTCTAATATATTACATAAAACTTAAAAACTTTGATCGATAAGAAGAGGTGTGGCCTCAACACACACACACACACACACACACACAGAAATGCCTCGTATACATTCACACACCATTTAAAAAGGGTTTTCCTATTTGTCTCTGTTCTCTTACACTCACCTCTGATACACCAGTCCCACAGATATGACAGGAGGACGAATGAGTACAGTAAGTGGGATACACAGGAGGATAGAGAGATGAGATGGAAATCAGAAAACAGATAACTGTCCATGCAGATGTGGAGATGCTGTCTTTGTTTCCTTGTTGTAGTGTTATTTTGAGAAAGAGAAAACGGGGAGGATGGAGAGGACGACAGACAGGATGTGAACACAGTGTTAGACTCAGATGTAGGTGACAGCACCTTTGCTGTTTTTCTCCATGGTGATTTCTACGTAGGAGGTTGGGACGTAGCCCTCCTCGCCGCTCTGCTTCCTCGCCCTCGTCCAGCCGTCGCCTTTGTCCTCCTCGATGATGTACAACACCTGCAGCGGCAAAGATACGTCTCTTAAATTACTGGCCCACATTATTGGTTGGAAATAAATAAGGCTAACTCAATTCATGTACACTATTGGATTTTTTGAGGATTCTTTTTGTCAGCTAGTATCACAATAGTGTATTTTTTTATAGTACCACTAAGAGTCGCCAAAGTCCAATACTTTGAAATGTTACACTCGGACTTTAAAAAGCAAACTATAATGGTGAAAAATAACATGACTTAAACAGGAGGAAATGGTGATCGGTGGATTAATCTACATATGGTGCTCTAAAGACTTTACAGCAGCAGGACGGTGGTAGTGGGAATGATTCAAAATGAACTATAGTGTGTTTGTTCATTTAAGACAAAAATACTTGTTCATAGGAACAGTTAAATGCTGGTTTGGGATTGCCCACAAATATATTTATAACCTTAAAAAAAAGCATTACCTCATCGTCTGCCATCACCAGTGTCCCCTCGTTCTGACCTAAGAGTCAGACAAAGCATAATCGCATTAAACACAATAAGGTTAGATAATAAAAGCCGAGTCACTTCCCTTTGAGAACAACACTGAGAACATTTGTAACACTTTATGGTGTTTGTCATTACCATCGAAGGAGTAGAGCGCTTTGCAGTGTCCGATGACCGGCAGCGGGTCGTCATCGTCAAATTCGTCGTCAAACTCGTGCGGGTCGGGGTTGGGTTGCCCGGGCTTTGGAGGGGTCGTGCGCTTCTGAGGCGTCTGATGCTCCTGACTGGTGTCGTCTGTGTAACTGCCCTCAGGACTGAAGGGAGAAAGGCAGCCGAATGAGGTTGCGTTTGCATTCATTAAAATACATCACCGCTCCTTGATTATATATAAACAGCAGACTCATTATTAGTCGTATGAAGAAAATTAAATCTAAGCAGGAATATTAGAGATTGACCAGCGGGTCTAATGAGTCTATAAAATAACAGAGCTCCTGCCTTCATATTGTTTGGGACATTGTTTATGTTTTAACAAGAATTATGATTTAAAAAAGGTAAAATTGACATTTTCAGATTTGTCAGCAATTAACTATCTAGTTTAGAATGAATTAAAAGGAGATTATTTTTTATTTTAAACCCAAGTAACTATTTAATCCATTCTTCATTCATGTTTAATAGAAATGTTTAATTGCAGACAGTTCACATGTTAAGCTGACCCACTATGCTCTTAAGGTTAGACAAGCAGTACATGTCAGTTACTTAATTGGAGGAATACCAACTGGACCTTGCCTTTATTTCCCCTATTATCAGTACCAGATGACATTGTTCACTACTTCCGAGGAAATGATTTAAAAGTAAACCATGAACACAAACAGCCAACTACACAAACAACGTTAAAGGTGGGAAATAAAGACTACTTACTAAACTGAATGACTTTGAAATGAATATGAATATGAATGTTGTGAAAAAATACATCCCTGACTCTATACATGTCATTAATGAATACCAAATGCTTAATATTTGATCCTCTTGCTCCCTCTGTCTGTCAGTGTGTACCTCTCTCTGCCTTGAGGAGTGTGATGGTGGTTGTCGGCGCTGTGTCGTCTGTCTCCTCTGGAGCTCTGCTTCCCCTCCACCTCCGATAACCAAGTCTGTCAACAAAGAGAGAGAGGTTTCAGTCAATATGACACGTCTATTCTAATACCATCCTCATCTACATAGTATCACATTATGACCAACTGTAAGACCTGAACAAATACTCAGCTGAAACCTTTCACCTGTAATCCGTCTTTCTTTTTCTTGGATTTTACAGTTGTGTATGTTTTGGCTCTATTTCAAGCTAAACCTTCCCTTCTTACCTCGTTTTTGTGGAGTTCTGAGCGCAGCTTCTCCATGTTACACATAGTCTCTGATATTTTGGGCTGCAGGCTGATGGGGTCTCCCATCTGTGGATTCTTCTCATACACATCCTTCATCTTGTTCAGGGCATCTCTGAAAGACAGACATGCTTCGGTGTTGGTGATGGACTCATGATAATAAGCAGGTCACAGGTCATGAGTAACAACGTAAGCAGAACCATGTTAAGGCCCTTTTGGTCATATGTGGTGAGGATTTAGACTGGGCAAGGCATTCTGGGTGAAGGCCAACCTCTGATCTATCTCTTTCTGGAGCTCTTTTCCGAGTTCGTCGATCCTCTGCTGCAGCCTCTTCCTCCTCTGCTCGGGCGGTAAGTGGCTGTAATCCTCCAGAGATGGGGCCTGGGGATGAAAACAAAACAAAACTACCAACTCAGAGTTTACACTGACTGGAGGAAAAATGTGTCAATTAACTTTCTCTGAGGTGTGAAGAGGTCTGTTGGAAATGCTCGACTGAAAAAATTAATCTCCAATTTTGTTTTTTAAACTGACTGATGCAACAAACATCTAAAGAGACGCTATGGTTGGTGATGTATGATACATCTTATTTTTAACCCATACCTTGGGCTAAATAATAACTAATATTTGAATATTTGTTTTTTTCCCCATGGTTCTGCTTTAAAAAAAAAATGTGGATTCTGAATTGACTGAATATCCTATCTGTACTTACCATTTGTCAGTACTTACCATGTATAATATACAGTAGGAGGGGACAATACCATACGGTAAATAGACTTACAATGGGGAACTCTAGTTCTATTTTAGTGGGTGTGATGAAGCTTCAGTAAGTGCATTATAATATGATATGTCAGAAGGCACATCAGGTACATCTATTTTCATTAGGAGAGGAGACTTTACTATCACTACTGGGTTTAGATATTGGGCACTAAGGAAAGTCCTACATGGTGAGGATACATTCTACTCTATACACACACTCACACACTTACCATCTTGACTGACCACTGACGTATTAACCGTTACAATAAAGAGAGACAAACAACATGGGATGCTGGTTAGTGGTCAGTATGTAAAGCAGCCACTATCAAGCCAGTGGGTCAGCATGAAAACCAGATGCTCAGATCACTACACAGTTTCAGAGATGGAACTTGCAACACATATCAGAAGTAAATCACTGCACACCAGGAGGTTAGTGTGAATATTTCACATAGCTCATGTATATTACACAGTTCATTTATATTAAATAAGAGTTTAATGCACATTCACTTTTGAATATTTATACTACACAATTATTCATTTCTGATTTTATTTCCTGCATTTATTAAAAACCAGATTATCTTGTGAAGGGAGGCCGCATGTTTATATTTTTTCCACTTTAATGTGGTCTTTTATTTTGTTATGATTGATATACCTCAAGGGTATAGGTGTTACATTTTAATTGGAAAAAATGTATGTAACTCGTGTTTGTTAGCAATAAATCTTCACAGGTCATTTGTAACTGAATTCCTATAAAACCCATCAACATCCTCTACTTTTTTCCATCTGGAACACATCTCTCCAACTGGGATAATATTACAATGAGTGATGGATCACGTCAGTAGTCAAACAAACGGTAAGATTGGTTCTTCTGATGGCCATTTTATTTGACCATATGGAAGAGCTATCCACGACAGTCCTGACTGAAGAGGTTTGTCAACTGTTCTGTTAAACTGTGTGCAACAGAAAGCTCTGCTTCAGAGCACACTGACACTGTAAGCGGAGCCACTCCAAAACACACAAACACACCACTGCAAACTGCCAGCATCAGAGCAACACACCTGATGTTGAAAATGCTGGTTTTCCCCACACAGCACAGCAACCAGAATGCCCAAATCCCTCCAATATACACATGCCTATTCCCAAACACCAGATCTACATACACAGACCAAGAAAAAGAGCCAATAAGAAAGGAAAGGAGAGGAAGGAAGTGTCTGCCAGTTTCTTCAAGTTACAATTAAAGCCATTTTAAACCTTAAACCCAGTTTAAGGGTTAAAATGGCTTACATCTTAAACCAAGTTTAAGGTTAAATTATATATTTAAAGCCATTGATTGCTTCTTTATGTTTGATTGAACACTATATATTTTCTAGAACCTGCCGACATCCTGCAGAAGACATTCAGAAAACATAAATCACTTCAACTTGTCAATCAAACACACTACCTCCTGTCTCACCCCTCGTCTCAGGCCTTTCAAATTCTGAGGCTTTCTGGGTGTAGTCTTTATCTCAGAGAGATAGTGGCTCACTAAGTCAGTGCTGAATCGGGAACGGGAGGACGAAGGTGGTGAAGGGGGAGAGGAGGAAGGAGACTGGTGGGGAGCAGGAGGAGAGAAAAAAACCAGAGGTCAGGACGACACTCTTTATCACAAGAGCCTTTCGGTATATTATTCACAGGATTCACAACAAAACATGGATCCGTCATAAGCATGACTCGTGTGTGACTTTCTCTGATGAAGACTGACTCATCATCCAGGCCTGGGGGGGATCATGGGTTTGTGTGAAATTAAGAGCAGTGTGTTAAACAATTAAACTATACACAAACACACCCTATGCATGACACATGTTCCAGCTGATGACGCTAACATAGACCAACAGCACGGTTAATGATTAACCAACATGCTCTTTATGAGAGGGGCAAGGTTCAAGCAGTGTATCACAGAATATATTTGAATGGGTTACAAACATTGGAAAGGTGACAATGACCTACGACTGGAGATACATCTGAGGAGCAGAGAAAGTTACAACACATGGGTGTTCAGGAAGTGACTGATAAAGAACAGGTTTTGCTGCATGGTTGGAATGTTAACTGCAGATTATAATGACAATGACAAAATGGTGATCTTTAAAGTACACAACTGAAAAGTGAATTGACAACCAGCTGAATGAAAAAAAGTAAACTCACTCACTGTTAAATAAATATAAATTCTTAAGGCACTATCTTTGACTTCTAGGTCTCTGTACATCATACACCAACAATGAGTTAGTGTCCATACTTTGAAGAACATATAATGTATGAGAACAGTTCAAGTTTGAACGTATTGCAAATAAAATATTTAAAATAAAGAAATGTTAATAGCTCCCCAGAAGAGGTTGCCCTTTCTTGTGTTTATATAAGCACAGTTGTAATAAATGGATGTTTTTTCATTTCTGTCTTATATCTTATGCTGAGAAAAGGTTTCTAAAAACATTAAAACAAATAATTAGGCCACAAGAGAATAACTCCCACTTGCTTCCAAAGGGAATTTCCCCTGTTTCACGATCTGTTCTTTTGTCGTTGCATTTAGAAACACAGTGGACTATGGTAAATGACGTCACTAGTATGGAGGTGTGTTCCTCAATTTGAAACATCTTAATAATAATAATAATAATAATAATAATAATAATAATAATAATAATACCTAATTATTCTTTTATTTTGGCTTTTTTAAATTGTTGATGTGAGATATATGCTGAGACATAATGTGGTGGTCTTAATATTGAAGCATTAGTGTTTAATTTAAAGTCATTTTTATAATCTATTATTTAGCACTTGATTCATTACATTAAAAAGGCAACAACACATACACCCCTCCCTCCTCATACCTTTGGTTTCTTCCCAAACAGCCACAGCTTGTTCTTGGTTTTGCTCATGGGGTGTTTAGGGTCGGACCGTGGCGCCGGGGCCTCTCGTTCTCTCTCTACTTTGGGTGTGCTGCTGATGGTCCCATCTGAACCTGACCTGCTCATATGCTGACTGAAGTCCTCGAAGGGGAAGTCGCCTGGAGGGTCGAAGCCCGATTTAAACGACTCCACCACAATTATTGAATCCTGGGAAGAGGAGAGGAAATAAATATATGAGTGGTGTGAAACGAAAAGGGAGGAAATACCAAGTAAAATATGTTTGGGTTTACTGTTTTTCTCTTCCTTTCTAACATCCTTCGCTCTGCTACATACCTTTCGGCTATCGACAGCTTTGGCAGCAGAAACCATCCCTTCTAGACATTTGGAGACGATGGGAATGACTCTGCGCTCCGCCTCGGCGAAGCTCCGGTACGTCTCACCGAGCTTTACCGTCCGACGTTCGTCCATGTCCTGCAGATTCTGTAACAAGAAGCGAAAATAGAATAAACACTATTAACAAAGTGCTCATAGAAACACTTCTACAGGCTTATTAGCCGTAAACATCCTGTCAGAGTTAGCAGATCCTTTTCCTGGGCACCATTCATACCTAGTCAGTATATTTGAAATGGCTTACATGAGACAAGCTGCTATGCTTGACATTTTAAAATGTTTTATTCTGCTGGGGCTCTTTAGATAAATAAGATCATATCCAAGAAAGGCCAAACATATATATATTACATCACAATCCACTCTTAAAGACCATCTAAAATATTATTACTCCAGTTGTTTAAGAGAAAAATCCCATACTGTTGAACAGCTAATTAATTTCATTCACTTAAATGAATTGAATTCTAAGTTTTAAAAAAAGTGGTTATTACTGTAATTCAAATCCCTACGAGAAGCTTTACCTTGAAGATGTGTGGTATGGCATTGTTGAAATGTTTCCACTGCTCTCCGTTGAAGTTCTGTAGCTGAGCGGCGTACTCGTTCTTACTCTCGTCGGCCATGTGGGTGCGCAGGTAGAACTGGGCTTTGGCCTGAACCGTGACATTAAACATGAGAACCAAGTTAGCTGGAGCATCAACAACCTCTCGTTTGTGTCAACATTACCATGCTAGCAAATGACAGGCATAATAATGATACGAAGGGAAAAACATTTTGCATTTTCCTCTATTAAAGGATTGTGAGACATGTTTTCATAGCATGGTCACATGGTTTTAACAGAACAAATCCAACATATTACCCCACTCTTAATATATTGTATTTCTTAAGCAAGGATAAAGCCACCTAAAGCTAATTTGTAATTGCCTAATTTGAAATTTGACTTGACATTTGAATCCATCATCCTTATTTCCAGAGTTATTCTGTAAAAAACTGTAATGAAACCGTACCTCATGTAGAAAATAAGGCTGACTGGGCTATGCTTTAACCTCTATTTGGAAAGGTTTATTTTCCTCCAAGCTTAAACTTAATCCACCTAGTCTAATTATACAGTAAGTGTGCAGGAAAAAGGGAGCTAGAGTATAATTTACTTTAAAAAGCATAAATTATACAATACTAACTTTGAGAAAAGCAAAATACTAGGTATAAAGGGTTGTAAAAGGGAGTCATTGGTCTTGAAATGTGGATTGTATTACTGAACTGCTCATCCAATAATGTACCGTCTTTGGCCTCGTGCCCGCTATAAAGTGAGAGTAAACATGCTGGTGTTTCCAGTGATAATGAAGAGAGGAGAAGTTAGTTCTCAGTCGATCAAGTTATTTTGAGCAGTTGTGTTTCAGGCAGAGCTTCCTACCTTCTCCACCTCCGATTTAGTGGCGTTGATGTCATTATCTAACCGATCATAGGTAATCTGGGATTTCTCTGCTTCTTTACACTCCCTCTCAAACTTCCTTTTACTCTAAAAGAGAGAAACAAAAACAGAAAAGGAAAGTTCATACATCAAGAGACACATTTTCAAAGAGTCTTCAGTGAATTAAAAAAAATAAAATGTGAATGAGTGTTCAGAACAAAAGCCAAGAGGGAGATGAATCAGGCAGGGAGATAGATTACTTCCTGCCAGCCCATCTGGGTCACATTAGTAGTGAAGGAAACAGAGAATAGCTGAGACATTGCAGTCCAGTCACCAAGTAGTCACCATTGAAGTCATGCAGACCACACACTGAAAATGTGCCAGTGTCAAGTAACTCAGACCTATGAAATCTGAGTGGACATGCATTTCTTATACATGTAATAAGCAGGAATTGGATTTTTAGCACTCTAGGAATCGTGGAGGCTAATTATAAATGTTGTAATGAGCCGATTGTAATAAAATGTTTTTTGTAAACGCATTAAAATGACCTAAGAAGTGAACAAATGGAATATCAGTTGCCTTTTCACGAGCCAAAAAGACCGTTGTTGAGGGCCAAATGTGACACATGGGCTGGTGTACACTGAGGTGTGTGTGTGTGTGTGTGTGTGTGTGTGTGTGTGTGTGTGTGTGTGTGTGTGTGTGTGTGTGTGTGTGTGTGTGTGTGTGTGTGTGTGTGTGTGTGTGTGTGTGTGTGTGTGTGTGTGTGTGTGTGTGTGTGTGTGTGTGTGTGTGTGTGTGTGTGTGTCTCCTTGTCCTGGACCCTGTCCTGGGAGGATTGCCAGAAAGAAGAATAGGTCACTGCTGTCTTTTCTCAGCCAGAAGCGAATGTTTTCATATTTCTATTACATTTGGGACTAACATTACAGGGGACCCTATATTACTTATCTTGATATAAATGACATACAATTACCACACATGACGTGCTACTCTCTTCATTAAATAATGGCATGTGCGGAATTAAACTGGGAAAATGCAACCCCTACTTGTCCTAAAGTACACCTTTGTTTACATTTCTTGCATTCCTTGCACAACAAGTATGAGTCCAGCTGGCTGTCCCTAACAGAGGATATTTACACTAAACACTTTTTCTCTGCATTCCCCCCTTCTTGAGCCCTCCCTCCCCACTCACATTGTCCATCTGTTTCCAGCAATGATCCAAATGCTGCTGGGCCTTCCTGCCCTCCTGTAGATGCTGCTCATATACACACACAAACACACACACAGAAACGAGACACATTTACACAGGAAAAAACACATAAATAGAGCTCATAAAACACATTCATATGCACATACACAACATAACTGGACTTTGTATCACTGTTACGTACATAAATACAATCCTCAGGAAACAAAAAGGGCCAAGTTTACAAGAGTCCAGTGAGTAAAGCAGAGAAAGAACAAATTCAGACTTACCTGCAAATGAGTTACACATTACATCATTAAGACAATGTTCCATTCATCGTTAGAGCATAATGTTAGGACACTTCACATTTTATACCACATGTCTGATTCAAATATATTCATAATTTGGCAAAACCATCCCAGCTCAAGGTCTACTCATTACGTTTTCCTGAGGGCAGATAGTTTTGCAGAGTAGCCATGGAGATGGATGTGTTGACATGCGCTGACGACGACCACATGATGAGGTAATGAGTTCAGAAGGCCTGTAGCGGACCTTGGCTTGGGACTGTTTTGTCAAACCAACAATTTGCTTCACTTATAGGCCAACACTGAGGAGAAATCTTTCAAGTGCTGAGGATGAAATCTACTGTGCGGTGTCGGTCAGTAGACCTAGAGTTGGGATGTTTTTAGAAACTATGGTTTTCAAGGTCAGATTTCTAAATGTGTATCATGACATACCAATATTTACCTTCTTTCTTATATTTCAATTCTGTATAATTTGTCTCTGTATACGTGTCATGGCCTCCACCACTAGTTTTGCTTAAAATCTCTGAATAGATGTTTTATATGTGGAGGGTTCGATAACCATGAGAATACATTCTGCACATGTTGCTCATTTCTTCTTCACACTACCTCTTTTAAATCAGCACAGCTATCCACTTTGAATAAAGTATATAGTAATTATTTTTTCACTGTACTCATTTTCTCACATAATTATATTTTGTAAATATTGTCTTGAATTTGTTAGAATAGTCTTAAAATAAAACATTTAAATAGCTGTTGTAAAAGTAGTGTTTATATTGTACTTCTGTATCTTTGTATGTATGACATATACCAAAAATAATTTGTCGTATGTGTAAACCTACTTGATAATACAAAACAATTCTGAAGAGATGTTACCTACTTAAAAAAAATCTAACTCAAAACAATAAAAAAACTAAAATAAAAAACCAGTGTAATATTTCTGTAATAAATCTTGACTCAGTTCCAATGACATTATTATACAAATATTAAATAAATGTGTTTCTGCAAGTTGCCATTAACTAAAATGACACACTGTCAGTAAATTATAAGACTAATAGACTAATTCTAATATAGAAAGCCTTATAGTGTATCGATTTATCTGGTGCTGATCATCACTAAACAAGAAGGGGGCGCTGTTCTTCCTAAACACATGGATGACAAATGTTTGGGGCCTATGGCCTCAGCAGATGGGGGAAGAAGTAAAAGACAGATGGTTAACATCACATCCAACATATGCATCCCCTTGAGTGAAGCCAAACAGAAAATAAGTGAATATGAGGCGACACACAGGATATAAAGGGCAAACAGCAACATCCGTTTCGTGACAGAAAGCAGCAGGTTCTCTGGGAAACGTGGTCTTGATTATGGATGGAAACACTGAAAACCAATGAAAATAAACTCTTTTTTGCAACTTTTTTGCAATTGTATTCAGAGTGCAGTGACGTATGGACTTGTTAGTGAACTTACATGCTTCCTCTCAGCTTTGAAGTCTTGGCTGTACCTCATCAGCTCTCCGTACACCTTGTGAGTCATCTCCTCGGCAACCACCTCCCTCTGCCCGGCGTAGTCGTTGAGTTCATTCAGTACGGAGTAGAAAGACAGACATGATGTGAACCTGCACAACAGACACACATCAAACAAGTGATTATCACTGCAAAAAAAACAGGCTTCCTCTTTTTGATCTGTTCACAGAGACATCTGCTGTCCATTAAGAGCTGAAGAGAACCCAGAGCCTAAATGATCATTACTTATTAATAGCATCTAATGTATGATACGTGTAGTGTATGTATGCAGTGTGATATGTTATATTATTGCATGGATCTCCCGTACGTACCTCTTGAGCATTAAAGGTCCCATGTCATGCTTTTCCGGTTATTACCCGTCCCCTTGTGTGTTATGTAGCTTTTTCTGCATGTAAACGGTCTGCAGAGTCACATACCCTCAAAGTACACCCTGTAGGGAGTACAACTCTAACACAGAAAAGACCTGTCTATGCTGCCCCAGAACGCCTCGTTGGAGGTTTCTCTTTTTCCATTGTTTACTTCCTGGGTACAGTGACGTGCCCATACCCAAATGGACCCATTGGTCCAAATGGACAAATCCGTGGAGCCGTTACGTTACGTCCGTGGAGCCGTTGGGATTGAGCGTGTGTGTGTTCCTCACACACACACACACGCTCAATCTTTTCTCAGCTGCAGCTCCGCCGATTTCTCCTCCCTGAGACGGCGGGACGCGGCGAGGCTTTGAGTCGGTGTGTGAGCACACACACAAACTCCCAGCCAGGCTGCGGGTGTGTATTCGGGCTGGTTTCGGGCTGGGTTTCGCTCTGTCTCGCAGACTGCCACTGGGCTCATAGGGAGGGGGGGGGCAGGAGCTCCAACAAGCCGTTTAGGACAGAGAGTGAATAATCATACTTTACAGAGATGCTGAATGAGAAACCAATGTGAGTTTGGAACATTGCACAATATAAATATATTCTAGTATACCTCAACAATGGAATTATGATCAGTAGAAATGGCCATGACATGGGACCTTTAAGTGAATGAAATGGAGTATGGGAAATTGAAGGAATGGTTTGGCACTGAAGAAAGAGACTGTTTTCCTATTTATTTAATCGAGAATCATTCTGAATCATATCACTACCCTCATATCATTTGGAGACCCTTGTAAGCTCAACTTTTGAAGTTTGTGTATGTGTTTTTCACCACAAACAAACATATTGTGTAGGAATAATTGTTAATGTATCTAAATTTGACATTTCTACCAAAAATGCTTAGTTCTTGCTGCATCCTCAACATTGGTTATTTATTGTGGCTGCTTGAGGAATCACTTGAGGGTGTAAAACTATTTGGTAACACAAGAAAGGAAAACTAAGAGTGTGTGTCAAGAGTCACATGGCACAACTGTTTCAGAGTGATGGCAGGTAAGTGGATCTGCCACATTATATACATCATATGTTCAATACAGTCAAATAAAAAAGGTGTTTTGGAATGATGAATAAAAGTAATACACATAACAAATGATCTAATTTTACTCACCTCGGCTCCTCTTCTTTAGAGCGTTTAGGACAGTATTTCTTCACCAAGTTCCTGATGGGAGAGAGAGAAGCAGACACAGGAAGTTACAAATACTGTCTGATATTTTAAGCCTGGTAGGTAAACAGGTAAATAGACAAGAGTCAGACACACACACAGTCTCTCATACACAGTCACACACACTCAGGATCTGAGTATTTTATTAAAGATGAATCGAGAATTTGAACATCAGAGCCTCAGCCTGTCCACTCCCTCAGGCTCTGACAGTACACCAGTCAGAAAGTGATTTAACTAGAGAGCAGAGGCATGTGTGTGTTTGTGTGTGTGAGCGTGCGTGTGTGTGTATTTTCAGCAACAAAGAACGGGGTCTTCCTGCAATACATGTTCTGTAAAAATGTGCACGTCCCCTCACACAGAGCTCCATCTTTGATCATACTTCAGACAAGCAGTCGAAGTGTGTGTGTGTGTGTGTGTGTGTGTGTGTGTGTGTGTGTGTGTGTGTGTGTGTGTGTGTGTGTGTGTGTGTGTGTGTGTGTGTGTGTGTGTGTGTGTGTGTGTGTGTGTGTGTGTGTGTGTGTGTGTGTGTGTGTGTGTGTGTGTGTGTGTGTGTGTGTGATGTATTCTGAAGGGACTCTCCCCTCTTTGAAATCAACCACTGGGACTCCACTGGTTTTTAATGAGGATTACTTGGTTTGTGCTGGTTGAATTGTCTCATGAGACAGGATTAAGCTAAATAAAAGATATAACCAGTCAACCTTACCTTTATTCTAACACTACTTGAAATATTTTTGAAGAAATTCTTAAATCTTATAGTGTTATGTGTATGCTGGATATAAAGACAGGCTGCACAAATCATGCTTGAACATTTCCAACACTTTTGCAGAGTTCAGACTTCAGGAAATGAGTGCATCTGTATTGTGTAACTGATGATGTATTTCAAATTCTTCAGGGCATCCTGACTAGAACACTAGCATGTCAGGGTCCAACATAGGGCTGAACGATTAATAGATTTTAAATCGAAATCGCGATTTTAAATGATGCGATTATCAAATCGCAAAGCCTGCGATTTTTTCAACATTCTTTTTTTTTTTTTACATTCTTTTTTTTTTCTTGTGTGTCAGTCATCCACACCAATCAGAAGTGCTGTGCTCCACATGTACCATCCGTTGTTAACCAATCAGAAGTGGCCCATGATAGAAGGTGATAGACAGATTGATCCAATCACCTGCCAAGTGCTTTTGAAAGTGCCTGCCCTTTCCAAATGGCTTCCAATGGAGCTTTCCTAGATGGTTTCTGAGTCAGGTTAGTAACGCTCCATCACATGTTTCTATTACAGGGTGAATCTTAAACTGAAGCTTGACTTTAAAGCAACCCAACGGAAGTTTCATGTAAGTTTAGTTCTTTCACTCGTAGCTCGGGCTGCGGGGGTGCTAGAGACGGGAGCACCTTGATGCGACCTTCCTAGCCGGAGTTATGGCCACATTTTACAATAAACTTCCGTTGGGTCGCTTAAAAACAAATATCACAAATAGAATCACAATCGCAATATTTGTCAGAAAAATCGTAATTAGATTTTTTCCCAAAATCGTGCAGCCCTAGTCCAACATATAGTCTGCCATGTTAAAAAGGGCCCTATTGTGCTTGTTGGGGTTTAACCTGTAGTTGCATTATATAGTGACATCAATATGTAACACTGGTGTTTCTATTGGCTAGCACTCCAACACATTGTATGTGATAGACTACGGGGTGCGACATCTCTGAGCAGTTGAGCGATCACAACATCTAACAATCAGAGCAGAGTGGGCTCTGGTTTCAGACAGAGGGTGAAAAGAGGTGCGCAGCACAGGCAGTGTGAGAAACATAAAGAGCTTTTTGAACATTAAAGCATGTAAACATGTCAGAGGCACAAAATACACATTTGAACCTGAATATGAGCATATATGCATCGTACATAGGGATTGAAATGACTGATCACAGCACATCATAAATGCTTATAAACAATAATATAGACAGTTTTTTGTAAAAGTGTGATGCAGGCTATTTTGGGTAAATGCAAAGCTTATCTGCAATTACATTTTGGTTAAACAGAAAAGTATATTAAAATGTGAAGCAATAACATATGAATATCAGACGGGATACTAGAGATCTTGGGATCTAAGAATTATTGCTTTTTTGCAGAAGACAATGAAAAATGTAGTTAGAGTCTATCTTAGCTGCACTATAAACACCTTTTGTGTGAATGTAGGTGTGTGTGTGTGTGTGTGTGTGTGTGTGTGTGTGTGTGTGTGTGTGTGTGTGTGTGTGTGTGTGTGTGTGTGTGTACCTTAGCTGCTTGGCATAGGTCTGCTCTATGTCCAGCCTCTCCTTGACAAACTTTGCATAGCGTTCAATAAAGTCGATGCCCCACTGGGTGTGTTTGTCCAGATTATCAAACTGGTCCTGAAGAAGAAAGAAGGGAGGGAGGAGAAAGGGAGAGAAATGTACTTTTACAAAACAATTGACAACATTTTTCAAACATTTTCTGCAACCAAAACACGCATTTGAGAATTATCATTAGATAGTAATAAAACAATAAATACAAATAAAAAGCGAGTTGAAGGAGAAACTTTCTTTTGTCCGACATTAGAGTTAACATTTGGGGTTACATGACTCAGCAGTCTGGATGCTTGTATAAGCCTGTTCCTGTTCATACAAATAAAACACACATGTCCTGCTGCCAGTGACTCAGCAGTTAGTGTTCAACTAGTCAGGGAACCATATTACACACACACACACACACGTCTCATACATACCAGATTAAAAGTGATCCAGAACAAATTATGATAGATCCATGTGCAGATTCAGTTCATGCTTTATAAACATTACAAAGAACCAACGTTATTATAAATATGAGGATTACAAATTGATAAAATGATCCAATCACAATATGGTGAATCAGTTATGTTCACGTGACGTCTACAAGACATTACTGCGTGTGTGTCTTCAGGATTGTAGACTGGCAACAATGGCTCTGCTCAAGAGGGAAAATACAATCATGTACAGCCCCTGAACACACACACACACACACAGGGATTATAGCAGCTTTGTTATCAGATTTCTATTTCAACACACAATAAACAATCTCCATCCTTTTCCCACCATGCAGCCTTGACCTTCATAATGTGAGAAATGACCAATTTAAGATGAATCATTTTACAATATTTATATGTGCATGTTCTCTCAGTCTTAGGGAGGATTTGACAGCACATGTTCAGTGCCTGGATGATGCTTTGTTTGAATGAATTCAGAGAAGCATCCACCACACACACAAATATATATTGTTTTATCACTCACGCACACCCAGCACAAACACTGTCTTATCCGTTTCCCATTGGGGTGTTTTGTGGGTCCTTTAAGTGCTTTGTTTAAGTGCACCACAATGGTGGTAACAAGAAAGGCTCAGGTGGTTTTTGTTGGCCTTTTAACCCTGAACTCTCCAGCCAAACTGGACATAAGAGTTTCCAGGTAAAGGTGCATATACTGATCTAAATGTCACTAATGCACACAAAGAGACAACAATCAAGAAATGACAACACTAAAAACAATCAATCAGCATTGTGTCACAAGTGGCTCTACTGTAACAACAATCTGTGTTAAGTGTGCTGCCCCACCTACCACTCTTTATACATCTCTGCATCTTTCTGTTTTTGTGTCAACACAAACCAAGGCCCGGACAGGAGCAAATAAGGGTCGCCATGGGAAATAGGAGACAGCTGACCTCCTTGGTGGCTCAGTCATTATTTTCTTCAAATACAAAAAGACAGAAGGGCAGCCATGTTGCAATGTGTCTTTAGTAGGGCTGCTCAATTAATCATATTTTAATCGCAATTACGATTTTGGCTTGCAACGATTATGAAAACAACATTTTTGTATTTTTTTTTTTTTTTTTTGTATTGTATTTTTTTCAATTGAATTATACTTAAAGTTCAGGGTAATCAACTGTTAAAAACATACTACACCTTTTTTTTTTCAATAAATTGATGTTTTCAAAGTAAATGGATCATCGTTTTTAATAATTGTGATATCAATGATTGACCCAAATAATCGAGATTATGATGTTTGCCATAATCGAGCAGCCCTAGTCTTTAGTCACTTGTGTTTTCAGAGAGTGTGTGTTGAGAAACTAACCTGTAACATTTGAAAGGTGCACAGACAAGACTCTTGGGACTTTTGGGTTTGATCCCATGTCTAGCATTTGCCTTGCTGAAGTGTCCTTGAGCAACACACTGACAGTTCAATTTGTTGGATCAATGTAAACATAATTTACCATATCATACACACCAATTGAACACAATAACCTTCTTCCAAATAGAATTAGAGCAACATGTCCGGCTGCATGAATGAAGCTGTCTCATGTTTCCTCTGTTTATGTAGCCAATGCTGAATGCACATTGAGGTCCAACAAAAGCCTGGGATAATATTTCCAATGTGATCTGGAGAACATTTTTCTGATTCAAAAACTGAAAGCAAGAGAACGCCTGCAGTCGAAAAGGAGCCATCAATCAAAGGAAAGGCTGACCAAATGAAGCCACTGAGAAGAACTAAAGGGCCCCAGCATGTTAAAACAAACCAGTGTCGGGGGTGAAACATGGACCGGCAGAGTAAACAGCAGCCAATGGTCTCTCCTAGGCCTGACGCCAGTTTTTATCAGCAGGAAAGAAGTTGCAAAATATCTCAGTGGTGCAAACTAGAGCCAAGTGTTTAGCAGCCAATTTCAAGCATATTTTGCTGTTCGACCACAAATATTTAGCTCGTAAGGATGCAGCCAAGAACCAAGGAACGTATCTGGATGCCTGTTTTTTGTTTGGTGTTTATCCTTTGCATCCTGCCAGTCTAGTTGCATCTGCAAAAATACCCAGCAGCCCTTCTGTTGCAAGTCTGGCCTGCAAACATGCCTGTCCAACTCCTTTCAGCCGGCTGTGTGTCTGGTTGCGTCAGCCTGTGTGACGCTGTCTATGAATAAGTAATAGAGTATGAGCTCATTGTGGCAAGCTGAGCACAAAGTGGCTCACTGGGGAAATGACAGCATCTTTGTGCTCCGGGTCTCTCAGCCCCCAGGAAAGGTAGGAGGAAGATGAAATGATGAGGATGGTTTTTGCTTAGCTGAAGGAAACAAAGAGTAGGAATACAGCCGGCACGCAGCACCTGCAATTTAACTAATCCTGTCCGTTCAGTCTTTTTTTCTTTGGCATTCAGACCTCTCACTCCAGTTTAACATTATGAAGCTAGCAGTTGTTACTTCCTTAAGGTACAATAGCTGTCCAATATCTCTTTGCTATGTTGCTAAATTGTTCCTCAAAAAAAAAAGAAGTCCGAAATTAATCTTTCAGCATTTTCAAATAAGCCTGGTGCCAATATTTTTGATAGTTTTTGTTTGTGCAAATACATGTTGCCAATAATCAAATCTGTTTTGCTACATTCAAATGTCATTTTTTTCTTTTAAATAAAATCAAGATTTGTATTTTGGCACGTCCATTAAGGCAGGGGTTCCCAACCTTTCTTGTGCCAAGGACCGGCAGATACATTAAAAAAGATATATCGCGGACCGGTTGTCAATATTTACTCACCAGCAGGTAGCAACAGAGGCTAATTGTATGTAACAGCCTGAACAAATACTATAACTATATGCATCCAAAACATATTACCGGTGTAGTTTTTGTTTTTTTTCGGCAAAATAGAAAAATTGAAAACCGACGTTATTCAGTTTTTAAACCAAAACGGGAAAACAGATAAATCAACGTTTTGGTTTAGTTTTTTGTATGATTTACGGATAATCCAGTGAATGCTGGGAAAACGAGGAGATGGCGCATTATGAAGGAGATGTCCGGTCGCCTGAGTGTGTGTGTGTGTGTGTGTGTGTGTGTGTGTGTGTGTGTGTGTGTGTGTGTGTGTGTGTGTGTGTGTGTGTGTGTGTGTGTGTGTGTGTGTGTGTGTGTGTGTGTGTGTGTGTAGAGGTGTGTGTAGTTAACACGTAGCAGCCTGCAGTCCTTCTTAAGCTGTTCTGATGAAGGTAAACACAGTGAAGGCTGTGCCTAGGCGCGCTGGTGCTGCACTTCTCAGAGGCGGAGTTACACGTCCCGCTGCCTCCTGATGCTGCAGCCATTTCATGAAGTGAAGGAGGTTTTCCTTCTATGAAACAGCTGTGGGAAGCAGATACTGTGAGAGTCCCGGACATGAATTCATAGATCAAGGCAGACTGGTTTACAGACTCTCCTGGTTTGCATAACAGTCTGCAATGAAACGGTTGTCTCCTGTGCGCTCCTCTTCCTACTTGGCGCACTGGTAACTTTCTCGTGCGAACGAGAGGCTGAGACCTTAGGCTGAGTCGTCGAAAAGCTAATGCATGATATTAATAAGTACTGCTGAAAAAACAACAGACTCATATCAGCTGATCCCAGCTAGCAACACAAAGGTGCACCAATAGCCATGTTATCAGTAACAACAATTCTACATCCCGTCACATAATCACAGGAAGAGATGTCTCCACAAACACACCCTCCACCGCAGTGCAGGGGGTTGATGTACAATGTGTACTGGATTGAGAGAAGCAGGATTCATCATTATTGTTCCAGTCTTCAGATGGAGCAGCTATTCTGCATGCTTATCACAAAACTGTCCTCCAGGCAGATTATTTAAATATTTCTTCCATAAGAAAACACAAGAAGACTAGAGATGTCAGAAGCAGAGAACTTTAACATGCAGTGTTTCCCCTAGGTTTACTGCTTTGGGGGGGGGGGGGATATATATTTTTTAAATCCTCTGGAGCAGAGAGAGGAGCTGTGGATTATTGTTAATGCATCAGAGTTTCTTAGGGTCAAAAACACTTAAAATGAAAGTGTTTAGTTTATTTAATAAAAGAGCACATGTTCAATGTGAAAAGTGACAGTAGATATAGATTAGTTGCAATTTGGTGCTGTATATATATATATTGAAATGTTTTTTAAATAATAATAATAATCTTTTTTTCAGGGGGGGCACGGGGCTCAGATCGCAGCACCCCTCCAAGACAATGGTAGGGGAAACACTGACATGTTTCATTTAAAGAGGACATGAGATGTCCTAGCTGTTACTTGCAAATCATTCTAGAAAATGTTGTAATAATTGTTTTCAAAATGGGTATAAGTATGTTATAAAGTACAACAATTAATTCTCACTTCCTTTTAAATAAATAAATGGCACAATTCTCTTCATGTTTTTTGTAGTAGCTAAATCCCCACATTTCAATAACAGTTTGTATATAGATTTAGGAACTGCTATTTAAATTGGGACAGAGTGATGATTCAGCCAGCCTGGTGCATCGGTTAAACAGCTTATTGCATATTTGTATCTTTGTAAGAAAAATGGGACTATATAATGGATAATATGTTGTCTAAGAAAAAGCTCTGGCCGGGTTATTTATT